TGTAATCAATGTCACTGAATTGTACATGTAGCCATTTCTGAAATGGTGTATCTTTGGCTATGTATATTTTCACCAAAAAATAAAAAGGTCCTCCAAGGTTGAGAAGGGAGAGTGTTGACATGTCGTGGGGTTGTTAACCAATGTCATAAAACAATATGTGTACTGACTGCTTAATGAGAAACTATTTGTTTTGTAAACTTTCACCTAAAGTACAATAAAAAAAGAATTAAAAAAAATAATTTAAGCTATTTTACCTAAGGAAATTGTTCACACTTAGACTATTTGTTAGTCTAAGAGTACTTCCCCCTTTTGCCATGAAAAACCTGTCCTTTAAATAAAGAGAATTCTGCTTTCCAAAATAACATATTCTTAAACTTCTCACATTACAGCAATAAAAATTACACTGTTGACTAGCCTGTCACCATCAAACATAACTAAAATTTGTTTTTTAAATGTTAATCTTCTATTTCAGGTGCAAAGCTATTTGAAAGTCTCGGAGTACAATGATTTGCAATTGGTTTTTATGTGGCTTTTACCTTCCCACAAGTAGATTTGTTTACTTAATTCCCCTAAGTAATCATGTGGTAACTTGAGATTACTCCCAAATAAAATTTTGGCAAAGTATTTAAGAGTATGAGTTAAAACAGTTTAACAGGTTTGGCTCATTGTATTATATATTGACGGGTAGCACAATAAAATGTGCGTAAAATCAAAAATACTAACAGATGTTTTAAATACTGTAACCAGTATTAAAATTAAAAGATAAAGCATTGCTCATAAACCTTCAGTGAAACAGACTACAAAATAGATTATATAAATAACACATATAGGTATTTTGAGAATTACCGTTAACATTATAAAGATGAAAGCAGATATTCCTAAAATTAGGATTTCTTTGTTCCCTTTGCTTTCCATATGAAGCTTTCGATAATATGGTCCCATGAGATAAGTCTTTATAACAAGACATAAAAGAAAAACAGCTGCTAGTGAAAAGAGAATTTGACCAATCAAAACCAGTATTCTCAGTATTTCCATGAAAATGCTAGGAAAGAAAAAAAAAAGACACGTTACTTCACCTTCAAAATACAATTCTCTAAAACCCAGTAAAATGATCTTTCACTCTTTTTTTTCCTTTAAAATGTTACAAACGAAATTACCTAAAGAGCATACATTTTTATTTCCAAAAGCTAAAATAAAACCTAGGAATCATATTAATCTCAGAAATTGAGTTATTTGAATCAAATACGGAAGTTGAATTATTTTGCAATCAATATTCTGGAATAAATACGTTTTATAGGACGTAAAGACTCTTGACTGATGGCTTTTATATCGTAATCAATGACTGATAATAAAACTCCTCATCAGGAATTAACCTCCATTTGATACTCTCTTTGTAAGGCAACAGTCACTCTAATATTACACTGCAGAGCTTCACCACTGGAAGCATGACTAAAGGACTCTAGCAACCTTCAGCAAAACATTTCCGTATCACAAGCCAGAATTTTGAATACCATGTCTATTATTTAGTCACAGAAAAAATGATTCTTTACTAAGTTTTTAAAAATACATCTATTCAGATCTTGGAATATATTCTTATATATGTAAAGGCACAATTTTGTAGTATTTATAACAGTAATGTTTTTTAAACATAGCTTTCTACCATATTTAGAAAAACATTCAGTCCAAAATTCTGGTTCGAAAAGTTCTCCTTATCAATGGAAGAATATATATCTGATTACTAAGAAAGTGTTTGTCACTGCAGTCAGGCTTAAAATAGCAGCGCTGGAAACACAAATCTCAAGTTGCCACATGATTACTCAGGGGAATCAGAACAGAGCTGGGCTTGAAACAAAGAAAGGTGGGATGAATAAGCCAATAATGGGTAAGCAGATGCTAGGAAAACATCCTTTAGTCACTTTAAAAGACTCTATATTTATTCACTAAGAAGGTGAGCCAGTGTGAGAAACAAGGATCTGGAAGCACTGGCAAGAACGGAAATTTGTTCACTGGTATAGAATAAAATAGGTTAGTTAACCTAATATTCATGACCAGTTTTCCAAAACCCAGTAAAAGACCACTGAACTAATCTTTCAAGTCAAGTCACACTTGATTGTTCTCCTTCCCTTGCTTTACACATCCAATACATCAACAAGTCCTCTACCACCAAAACTTGGCCTGAATTTGGCCCTTGCGTCCAGCACTATCACCAGCCCCTCATCTAATAAGCTACTGTCATCCTCTTTCTCCTATACCACTCCAATAATATCCTAACTGATCTTAGCCACTCCTGTCCCACTACAATCCACGCTCCAGAAGAGGCCAAACAACATGTTAAGAACATCAATCAGCTGTTCTAAAGCTTCCTATGACATTTAAATGAAACTCAAACTTCTTTCCATAGCCTGCACATTTCATCGCACCCAACTCTCCCCTTACCTACAAAGCAGGCTACCTTTTTTTTTCCTTCAATAAGCCAAGCTCCCTCTAGCTGTAGGGCGTGTGCACCAGGCTCCCTCTGTTGGAATCCTCCTCCAGATTTCCCTCACATGACTGGCTCATCTGTGTTCCTCAGATTTTAGCCTAAATATCAACTACTCAGAGGCCTTCACAAATCTGATGTAGTAAGCCATTATTCACGAATTCATCATGCTACTCATCACACACTTATCTACGATAGATATTTTTCCTTGGTTACTATTATTTATTTATCATTTATTCATCATCTTTCCCCAAAAGAATGACAACTCCATGAGAGCAAAGACATTCTCTACCCAGTTCACTTTTGTATCCTAAAACCAAAACCAAACTGGTTGCTGTGGAGTTGATTCTGACTCATAGCGACCCTACAGGACAGAGTAGAACTGCCCCATAGGGTTTCCAAGGAGTGGCTGGTGGATTTGAATTGCCGACCTTTCAGTCAGCAGCCGAACTTTAACCACTGCACCACCAGGGCTCCTTTGAATCCTAAGTATCCAGAATAGTGCATAGCACATTATAGGTGTTCTCATTTCGGTATGGGAAGAACACACTCGGCATTTCTCAAGCTGAAAGAACTGAAGAGAAAATTCAAGACTTGAGTTGTAATGCTGAAGGATTCTATGGGGAAAATATTAAACGACACAGGAAGCATCAAAAGAAGATTGAAGGAACACACAGTCACTGTACCAGAAAGAACTGGATGACATTCAACCATTTCAAGGATAGCATGTGATCAAGAACCGATGGTACTGAAGAAAGAAATCCAAGCTGCACTGAAGACACTGGGGAAAAACAAGTCTCCATGAATTGACAGAATACCAACTGAGATGTTTCAACAAACAGATGCAGCTCTGGAAGCACTCACTCGTCTATGCCAAGAAATTTAGAAGACAGCTACCTGCCTGACTGACTAGAAGAGATCCATATTTGTGCCATTCCAAAGAAAGATGATCCAACAGAATGTGGAAATTATCAAACAATATCATTAATATCACAAGTAAAATTTTGCTGAAGATCATTCAAAAGCAGTTGTAGCAGTACATGGACAGGGAACTGCCAGAAATTCAAGCTGGTTTCAGAAGAGTATGTGGAACTAGGGATATCACTGCTAATGTCAGATGGATCTTGCCTGAAAGCAGAGAATACTAGAAAGATGATCACCTGTGTTTTATTGACTATGCTAAGGCATTTGACTGTGTGGATCATAACAAATTATGGATAACACTGCAAAGAATGGGAATTCCAGAACACTTAATTGTACTCATGTGGAACCTGTACATAGACCAAGAGGTAGTCGTTTGAACAGAACAAGGGGATACCACGTGGTTTAAAATCAGGAAGAGTATGCATCAGGGTTATATCCTTTCACCATACTTATTCAATCTGTATGCTATGCAAATAATCAGAGCAGCTAGACTATATGAAGAACGCGGCACCAGGACTGGAGAAGATTCATTAACAACCTGTGATATGCAGATGATACAACCTTGCTTGATGAAAGTGAAGAGGACTTGAAGTACTTACTGATGAAGATCGAAGACTACAGCCGCCTTCAGTACAGATTACACCTCAACATAAAGGTAACAAAAATCCTCACAACTGGACCAATAAGCAACATCATGATAGAGAAAAGACTGGCATTGTCAAGAACTTCATTTTACTTGGATCCTAATCAATGCTCACAGAAGCAGCAGTCAAGAACTCAAATGATGCATTGCACTGGGAAAACCTGCTGCAAAAGACCTCTTTAAAGTGTTGAAAAGCAAAGATGTCACTTTGAGTACTAAGGTGTGCCTGACCCAAGCCATGGTGTCTTCAATTGCCTCATATGCATGCGAAAGCTGGACAATGAGTGAGGAAAACCGAAGAATTGTCGCCTTTGAATTATGGTGGTGAAGATACTGAATATAATATGGACTGCCAGAAGAACGAACAAATCTGTCTTGGAAGAAATACAGCCAGAATGCTCCTTTGAAGAAAGGATGGCGAAATTTCATCTCACATACTTTGGGCATGTTATCAGGAGGGACCAGTCCCTGGAGAAGGACATCATGCTTGGTAAAGCAGAGGGTCAACAAAAAACAGGAAGACCCTTATAGGGACAGACTGACACAGTGGCTGCAACAATGGGCTCAAGCATAACAACTGAGGATGGCACAGGACCGGGCAGTGTTTCTTTCTGTTGTACACAGGGTTGCTATGAGTCAGAACTGACTCAATGGTACCTAACAACAACAAGTTTCAGTCCAGTTTTATTTAAAGAGATCCACAAGCAGTTTTAGATTTGCATTTTTCGTAATAGTCCTTACAGCAATCCTATATGATAAGTAGTATTACTATCTCTATTTTACAGGTAAGAAAGTACAGGCAGAAACCACATACTAAATGGCAAACGTGGGGACAAACTCACGTAGCCTGGCTCCAGAATCTGTGCTTTTAATCACTATACAAGCTGCTTTGTAATTACCATCTCTAGTTTGGATATATATATATATAACGAATACATAAAATATAGTGTGATGAGGTTAAAATATTCAAACAGTTCAGAAAGGTACAAAATGAAAAGTTAAAGTCTCAGACTACTCCAATCTCTTTTAAACACAATCATTGTTAATAGTTTATGATTCTCACTAGCTAAATTTCATTTGTATGTCCACATGTATTCTATTCTTAATTTTCACAATGGGATCACAAGGTGTACACTACACTTTGCGTTTTTATTTTTCCACTTATTTTGGAAAATTTTCTTTTCTCAGCACATGGCTCATTTAATAGCAGAATATAATTCCATCATACGGATGTACATAATTTACTCGGCCAGGTCTCCACTGATGAGACACTTGGGTTGTTTTTGGTTCTTTCTATGCTGAAGTGATGATAAGCTTTTGTAAGCATATTCATAGACAACAGTGGTGTTGCTTGGTAAAGGATAAGCGCTTTTTACGTTCTGATACTGCCAAACTGGCTACCAGGAAGGTTGATCTAATTTCTACTCCCAATCACAACTCGTAAGAGTGTCCATGTCCCAAACCGAGTATCATCCAACTTTTAAATGTTTACAGACTGGTAAGTAAAAAGGACCATTTGCCTTTCTTTATGTGTGAAGGTTAGCATTCATTTTATTCACTTCTGTGTTAACTGCTTATATCTCTTGTTCATTTTTTAAACTGAGCTATTCATATTTTTCTTATTAATTTGTATGATACTATTTCTCATTAATTATTTACAGAATAAGAAACTTAACGCTCTGTCTTTAATATGTGTATAATTTTTTTTCCAGTTTGCCCTTGGCTTATAAGTATATATGTGTGCATGTATGTGCATGTTTGCATATATGCATGTCTATGTATATATTTAAATATTAAAAGTTTTTAATATTAATGTAGTGAAATTTATCACTTTTCCTTTATGGACTCTGGATTTTGTATCCTACTTGAAGAATAAAGCTCTTCCCATCATCAATATGATAATTTCATCCATACTTTCTTCTAGAACTTTCATGGTTTTGCATGATTTTAATTCTAATGATTCAAATCACTTTATATTTTAATAATCTTATTTATT